TTATTATTTTGTGGTTAAAACAGTGAACCAGTTAAACCATAATGGTTTATCTGATTTTATATTGAACCGTGAATAATCATTTGATCCGTCAATAACCGTCCAATCAATTGACCGAACTGCTATCATAATTGGTTTGCTTGTTCTACTGGTCCATCCATTTATCTGTTTGATTCTTATAATAATGCTTTAAACTGAGTTTTCGAAATTGAGCTAGCAAGAAAGAGATAACTGCTCCAATAACCTAATAAAAATTAACAAATAAAAAAGTCCTAAAACTAGTCCTAAATTACCTGGCTTCTCCGTCTTCCATAGACCAACACGGCCTCTTCGGCAACAACCCTGGCCGCCGTCCCAAGAAACCCACCTCAATTATGAATCTATTATTCACGAATCCCCTCCCAAAAAAAAAAAAAAAGAACTAATCAGTAGCCCACCAACATAGCAATAATAGATAATAATAACCACTAAAAAGACTAAATATAAGGTTAGTCATATAAACTCTAGATTTCCATCCTTGTGATTCATTAATCAACTACTCGTCGATATTGATAGTAAATAAATTATCACAACATATGCGCTCTCAAATCAACAAGAAACAAACCCTAATAATCAATCACAACACTCGAGTTAGCTTAATTAACAAACAAAGAGTTTTGTTAGTGGGCTGTTGTCTTATAAACCAACTGATCTCAATAATTCAGAGGCAGATGTATGGTACTTAATCACTTCCTTGCACGCTCTTCAAATGAAAAACTGACTCATTGACTTAAAGTTTGCACAAACCCGACTTACCATGTGCTGAAGACAACGGTTAGTATTGGGAGTTGTGAGAACTTGAACCCGTGACTTCAAGGACAAACATGCTCTGATACAATGTTATAAATCAACTGGTCCCAAAATTGCTTGTTAATCGTTTCTCCAAAACATGAATTGATGGTTATCTAATTTTAAGTGCTATAAGATTGTGGGGATAGAGAGTGAAGAGTTGAAACTCTACATCTCTGTCCTATTGTGGATTGATGATTTGTAAAACTTGTTATTTGTGCTAATTACCACACAAATATCACATAACAGAATATTTGTTATTTGATATATGATATTTGGCTCCAAATAATATGTTTGTGTTATTTGACAATATACTTGTTCCCCTTCAAGTATTTGATAAACAACACATTTGTGTTATTTGGCAAACACCAATCACACCACATCCAAATCACACGCTCTCTTTTTTCCAATCAAATATGTTATTTGAATCCAAATAACACTCCCAAACAATCAATTCAAACTGAAGTAATTTGCATTCTGTTGAGTTTAGCAATAACCTGGTAGTTTCAAAAAGTAGTCGCAAGCAAAAAGAAGAAAGAAAGAAACTTTCAACAGTGGGGACGGGTTGACTTGACTTACTAGAACAAACAACAATCAAAGCAAAGAAAGAGAAATATAATCATCTTTTTATTATTAGCCAAACAAACAATCTCGAATCGAGGGAATTACTTTACGATTACCCACCTTTCTTTCTCTTCCATTTCTGTTCTGTTTCCTCCCAGCAAAACACCATCCCAGATTTTGCAGGAATTCCAGCAGCCAGCAGCACTACTCTTATTGTTTCTCTCTCTTCTCTTCTCTTCTCTGACACAAAGAAGCAGAGGAAGATGGTGGTGGACAGAAGCAGAGTGCGTTGCTTTCTCTATCTATCTTCTCGTTTCTAATACCTTAGCTCCCACGAAAAGAATTTTCTCCCCCAAATCACTTGCCCCCTTCTGCTTCTTTCTCTAATCAATGGGGGCGGCCAATCTTTTTGTGATACAATTTGTGTCTCTTACTGGGTTCAGATCTGCCGATTCTACTGAGTCTTGCTTCTTACTTTTGCTTCTTCGTCTTCGTCTTCTTCAATCTAATCTCCTTCTTGTTAATTGTTTTGTTTCCGTAGACGCTCCTCCAGCCTTGTGAGTTGTGACAGTTGAATTCTGGCAGAGGGAGGAAAGGGGGAAATCGTGCCAGGGATCAATTTCTTGCCACCCCAGAAGCAGAGCAGAGCTCAGCTGAGAGAAATTGAAGCAAAAAAAAAAAAAAAAACAACTTTGTGGAAATGGCGGGTGTGGGAGATGGAGCAGGGACTTCCAATGGAGGAATTCCGCCGCCGGCTGCCGCAGCAGCACCGAAGATCCGGCTGGTGCGCTGCCCGAGATGTCGGCAGGTTCTCCCTGAGCTACCCAATGTCCCTGTTTACCAGTGCGGTGGCTGTGGCACCCACCTTCAAGGTAATGTTTTTTTGCTCGTTAAACCCTAATTCTAAATATCCTAATGATTCCCAGAGTTTGAATTTGATAAATTGTAGGAAGCGAACACTGAAATTGTTTCCTCGTTTGGAATCTTTGTCTCTGCAGCCAAAATCCGGCCGCCAGTTGGGGAAAATTCCCCACCCGCTTCCAGGAATGGGTCGTCGGTAAAAGCTGCTTCGGTTTCTGCCCAGTTGAATACATCGGCTAGCAGCAGCAGCATTAGTTCTGTTCCTTCGCCTGTAGTTGAAGCTTCCTCTTCTTCCGGGTCTGGGGAGACTTCCCTGGATTCTCCTGTTGGCTTAAAGGATTCAACTTTTGTCAATCCTTTAAATGATGATCAGAAGCCTGAGAACAAGGCATCAAATGGATCTGTGAGGGAAGAAACCGATGACAAAGAATATGGTGATCAGCAGCAGCAGCTCCCCAGGGTTGACTCTGACTTTTCTATAGAAGACCAAGTTGTGGAGAAGGAGAAGATGGACGAGGCTGATCATGGCGAGTCTCCAGATCGTGATGCATTTATCGAGAACAAAGAAATATTCCCAGATGTTGGAGTGGATTCTGAACATGAAGTCGACGAAGGTGGTGAGATTGCCAAAGTAGATGTTACAAACTCCAGTCCTTTGGACTCGAGAAGATCGAACATGGAGAATGCCAAAGGTGATAGTCCTTTGGACTCGAGAAGATCGAGCACAGAGAAGATAGGTGATACTACTACAGAAAGCACCTCGACAACAGTCACTGCTGGGAGCCCAGCACCTAGAGAAAGCATCTCTGAAGATATTCATTCGGGTCTCCCTCCTCGTGACCAGCAGCAGCTCAATCGGCTCCAGGAGAGAGTGCGTCATGGGATTGATAACCGTAGAAGGTATGTAGCAGAAGACAAATTTGAAGCATCTGATGATTTCATCAACAACTTAAGTTCGGAGCTAAGTGAGGTGCTTGTAGATTTTTCCAAATCTCCAACCACTAGAAGTACTCGTGCTTATTATGAAGGTTTCTCCTCTTACGAAGGAACTGATCATGATCAGATGCCTGGTGGTAGATACAGACCTCATTACAGGAATCCTTATGGTTATAACCCTGGGAACTATAATAATATTGCTGAAGAAAGGGAAGATGAAAATCATAATGTCCATCGGAGTAGGAACGTTGGGATGCAGCAGTATCAGCAGCAACAGAACTATTATTCCCCAGATATGAATCAATATTTGGAAAGGGATGAACTTATGCTTCAACAGCCTCTACATACAAGGGGTTACATGAATGGCTATGGAAGTGGCAGCTCCCCCAATCATTTTCAGAGTGGATTTCATGGCAACTCAAATTTCCACCCTCCAATTAACCCTGTCGACATTGAGCAAGAGAAGGTCAGGTTATTGAGAATGGTTTATGAGTTGGAAGATCGACTTACCAGATCTTGCTCTCTGAATGATAAAGTTAGTAGTGGAAGTGTTTCTGCTGGAGGTGCTTGGAGTGATCAGCAGGTTCCCAGGCCATATAGAGAGGCAAGCAGCTGGTCTCAGCCTCAGACAAGGCAGCAGCATTCGAGAATACCATTCTCGGCTGAAGCAACAACAAATGGCCGCAGGCACAAAGTGGATCACTCCTTCTGTTCTACACATTGCAATAACCACAACAGAGTATTTTGCAGGGCTCACTCCGGTGCAAATTTTTGCAACTCGTATGGCTCTTGTCCCTCTACTCCTCAGAGACACATGGGGTTTGATGATCAAAGACCTAACAGAGATCATGATTTGAGAAAGTATCACTTGGCCAATAAGAAACATCTCCGCCCTGTAGCTGGTGGAGCACCATTCTTAGCTTGCCCTCGTTGCTTGAGCCAGCTGCAACTGCCTGCAGACTTTCTCATTTCTAAGAGGAAGTGTCATCCGTTGCGATGTGGTTCCTGTTCCGAGGTACTCAGGTTTTCACTTGTGGACAGAACACGCTTGGTCCCTTACTTACCTACAGGAAATGCATCATCTGGCTCGTTGAAACACGATGGGCAGCGAAAGAGGGTAATCTCAGACAAGCGGGGTAAGGATCCTGTGGAAGCATATGACGATGTTGGGCCTTCCAATGGTAAGGGGAAAAAGGAGAAGAAATCTACAGAAGTTGAGGAGATAGAGGAGAGAGGAGGGTCGCCACTTCATCGACTGATGGGCTACTCCACTCTCAGCGCTGTCCTTGTTAGCACTGGCGCGAGGGTGTAGAAAGGGTTCCACGTACAGGAACCTAACTCAATTATGAACTCTGAAGTCTCTCCATTCCATTGGTTCCTTTTCATTTCTCACTGGAGTGGATTGGGGGCGGCAGCTTGTAGTGAACAGTAAATACTCTGGAAGGTAAAAAGTTCAATTTTGTTGGAGCTGTGTGTGTATAGAAGTTCTGAAGAAGACTCCACTACTTGATTTTATTGATTTATTTAGGCATTCGGATTTCAGGGTATAGTTGATTCTGTTGGTGGTTTTGTTTCTTTGAGGGCTTTACTTGTGGTGTACTATAATAGAAAGAAGAAACTGGTTGTTTTGCTGCAACGAATACATGTATGAAGACTACTTCAGTTTTGTGGTAATGTTTCTTTGTTCTCTGCATTTGTTGTGTTAGAACACTTTTTTGATTGAGAACTAATGTCGTCTGCTCGTTTACCTATGCAATTTCAACTGTAAGATCACATTTGTATAGATATGGGCTACGCATAAATTTACCTAGAACGACATCAACCACGACCTACGCCCACCCTTACCCTATCAGTTCAGCACGATAGCCGGATTAATTTTCGCACCATCTGTCCTCACCTGATTCAAAAACCAGAGGAGCTGCTGGCAAAAAAACTAAAAGTTCTGTGACAGCACAATCTGAAGGAAATGGTACATTCCCATTCAGTTCGGATGAAACTTTACAGGCCCTTTAGTGGAAGGCCAACAAAATCCAGAACACGGTAGTTTTCAGAACCATGACGCTTTGGGCGCCTTTACACTAAAGCTTTCTTCTTTTATAATATTGCCATTCAACGATCGAAGCTCTCTTCTCACTTTCCAGGTCTCCACTGTGGAAACAAGCTGTACCACTCACATACAGCAGCTTTCTTCTTTTATAATGGTCGCCACTCTTTTTTAAGTGGAGCCACTCACAAATCTTGATGCTTGCCAACTTGATTAATACTAAATAAATCATCATGGCAACGTAGAGGGGATCTCTCTAGGAAATCAGATATACTGTTCCTATTTCTAGCCAAATTAATTTTTACAATATTTGTTGTCATTAGTTGAAGCCCTCTGTGTATCGGTTTTTCTGCGGTTTGAGACGATGGAAATCCTATGATCCTGAAGCATGATCGTGTTAGGGGCCAGCAACCGTGTGTACCGGGGTCAAAATACAGAAGCTGTTTCAGAAGTTCCAGTTAATATAACAAGGGTAGTTTCAAGTTCCACATCTTGAATCTCCATTCTACATACCACATCAAGAAAAACAAGGACTACATTGGCAGCAACAGCGGTAGCGTTTGTACTAGGATCCCTAGCTGTTGCCAGTTGCCACTACTACTTCTGTGTGTCCAATTCCTCTGACATGAGAACAAAGTTCCACTAAATTCATGAACTCTAGGCTGATAATACTCAGCTGAAAAGGGAGCAATGCTTGCCTGTATAGATGAGAATATCTTTTTCAAGTCTCTTGCGAAGGCCTTGGTGTCGACATCTTTGTTTGTAGCACCCATTTCAATAAGTGCAGATGCCATTGAGCCGTATTCTTCAGCTGCAATTGAGAGCTCTGGGGATACCTCACGGGGAAAACCTGCATAGGCCCTCGCAGAGTTGCTCCCTCATCTTGTCCCGCGTGGGGTCATTGCATTTGGGAACCGGGAGATGGATAGTGGGAGGGATAGTTTTGGGTTTAGGAAAGCGGTTTGTTTTCGCTGAAGCAGTACTGGTGGTTTTGGGTTTAGGAAAGTGGGTTGGCTTTTTTGAAGCAACGGCATTGTTACTGGGAATCTTTCTGTCTGGCGTGTGTGGCTTCATAGGCGGGGGCTGCAATGTGAAGCTTGTCCGAGTCAGAAGGTATGGTGACTTTCTTATGATGTGCAGCAGAGGAATTGGAGGTGTTGGTTCTCTCAAGGAACATGGCTTTCCATGTTTGGAAGATGTTGGCGGTGAGGTGCTTTTGTTCTTGCTGGCTTGTTTCGTAAGTGGTCGAAGATGCTTCCTTACCTGAGGCAAAATGATGTTTGTTAAGAGTTCTGCGCAATACTTGATGAATGTTTGTAGTTAACAGATCCAAGAAAGTATTCATGTATGGTGGACAGTAAGGGAGTCAGCAGTGGTCAGTGGAGAAAGCAAGAAGTATTTCTGCTGTTTCAGAGGTAACTGATCTTTCCTGAGGTATTACGAGTGCCACTTGAGAGTCTGCTGATCGATCCTCTTTTGTCAACAAACTCAGTGCACTCACTTCATTATTTACAGGCTGATCTACTAGATGGCAGGGATCCAGCTGCACGAGCATTTGTGAAGGAACCAATGTCGGGCTACATTTGCAAATTTATAAACTTCAATAGATCCTGCAAACAGAAGCCTCAGTTGGAAAACACAACAAACCTGAATTGTGAGCTTGTGCAGGTTGGGAGAACTCATGATCAAACAAACAAAAACACGCTCCATCCTGGAGATATTAAAGATGAGCCTAGTTATGGTAAGGACTCCTAACCGTTGAAGCGGATAAGAAATCCTGGTGGGAATATTATTACCTACAGCAACCCAGTAGGCTTTTCTACAAAAAATAAAAAATAAACAGAAAGCAACTTACATTCAGGATTTCATGGTTAACAATGAACTGCTGGAGTCACGGGAGAGAAGCAAATAAAGAAACCAAAATTCTAATGATCTTATCAAGTTCGAATATCACATCTAATGGTGGTCACAACTCAAAGTTGGCTATGCTATCTGCATGAAGGTGTCAATCCTCCTCATCATTCCAGTCATACACAACCTTAGCTTCTTTAGAAATACGGGTATATTGCATCACCTCCTTCATGCATTTCATAATCTTCTTAGTGCCCAGTTTATGATAAGGAGTAATATGAATCAACCGAAGTAGAGGTGCAGTGGCTAGGATGAACCTCATAAGATCCAGCTCAGCCTGTGTAGCACAGTTATCCACAATTCTGCACTCCCTGAGATGCTGAAGGCAATGTGAAGATCCAGGGCAGTCCTCTGCTTCCAACAACCTCCATAAGCTGCTAACTTCATTGCCTGCCAGCTGATCGTGTTGGTGGAGAGTGCTGACCTACAAGGGCATTTGTGAAGGAACTGGAGTGAAGCTAGATGCCAAAATTTATAAACCTCATAAATACTGCAAACAGAAAATTCAGTTTGCAAACCGAACCAACCTGAACTGTGAGCGAACACAAGTTGGGGGAACTCATGATTAAACAAACAAAAACACGCTCCATCCCAGAAACATCAAAGATAACATGCTTCATGTCAAAGACTTCTAAAAAGTGAAGAGGAGTAGGAAGCCTGGCGGGCACGTTCCTACCACCTCCAGCAAAGTTCTGCAAGAAAACCAAACACAGTTCATATTACACTGTGTGAATGAGTTACAGCAACCCAACAGGTTTTTCTGCAAGACGTGAATATAGGCTGTGAGCAAGTAACTTACATTCAGGATTTCATAGTTAACATGGAACTGCTGGAGTGCAGGCAGAGATGCAAATAAGGACACCATATCAGGTACGCCACCATCAGTACAATCATCATTCCAATCAAGTACGACGTATGACAGGAGTGGAGTAGATTTGAAGCTAAAGCAGATATCGAAGAAATCCACCACCAAGGTGAAGGATTTGAGGAACGGAGCCACAATATCAAGGTTACCTTCTAGACCATCACAATCTACTACACTTAAAGATTCAAGCAGGGGGCACTTGGGAAGGAAATCCTTGAAGAAATCACACGGCAATGTAACACGATTCAATTCAAGATGGGTAAGCTTACTAAAGCCAACAAACCAAGATGGTGGTGTAACTTCACAAGACCTAAGTTTGAGGGATTTCAAGTGAAGTGCAGAAAACAAGGAAGAATGCATCTGATACTCGTCTGAGTTACGGGAAAACACTAGAGTTAAGTGTCGAACACCTTTGCTAGAAAGGTAAAGAACGATTAGGTCAATCTCATGGCAGGGGTTTAATCTAGGTATTGAAAGCACAAACTTGGTCATTGGCCCATCTCGAAGAAGCAGAGATTTGTAAATGTTCAAAAGAGCTTGCTTATTCATCAAACTCCGTTCAGATTCAGTCTCTTCACGGATTTCAACAAAACCATCATCAAACACAAGCTGAGGAATACTTCTCCATTGATGCCTCCATTTCCTTGACAAGACACTAGTTTTGGTGGCATCTTTAATAGGTAAGAACACTAGAATGCACTGTATCACGTGGGCAGGGAGGTCAGTGATTCTATCACCGCCGGAGTCGCACACCCGCTTCATCGTGCAGGGTTCTGTACAAAAGTTGAAGCAAGAAACCCATTTCAGCCGGCTAACAAATACGGATTGGGATAACCACAAACATATATATAAATCAATTCGAAGCAAGAGAAAGCGGTTGATTACCTTTCGTTGAGGAGGGTGGGTTACCTTGACCAAGAACTGAAACGGGGCATAGACCGGTGTAGCCCTAAACGCTATACTTGTTTCTCGCGTCTCAATTACATTATCCTATGGAGATCGTGAAGAATCGAATTGTGCGCTTGAGCATGCCATGACTGAAGTTTCTTGCAGCGGATTCTCTTGGGTCTTCCCGGAAATGAAACTCAGGAACAGCACAGAGTGGCAAAAGGCGCGCAAGAATGCAGGAAGTCGATGTTGAGAGTCGTCCGAGAATTAGAGAGAGCTATGAACAGAAAACGACGGTGAGGCGGGAAGAGCGAGCAAGAGAGAGTGCGTTATTGCTTGTTCACCGCGGAGGTAGGGCTTGAAAGATACTAGAAAAGCTGTAAGGTTTCGAGGATTAAAAAATCGTACATTGTTGTGAAATAGCAAGGAAGAGCAACAGACATAAGAGTAAGAGTAGAGACACAAAAAGAGTGGGGGATAGAGCTTTCTTATTCATGTATTCCTTAGTACAAGGAGATCATATATTTATAGGCATACATCACATAACCCCTACATTCTTACAATCAATATACATGAATGTGAGAATGAATGTGAAATAGAAATGGGGTGGGGGGTTACATGTAACACCCAATTGTGCATCTAATGTGTCATATGAAGAAATAAATATAAGGAGATGAGTTACATAGAACTTGTAACATACCATGGAGCATCTAATGTTGGTCATCCATAATGATAATAATATTTTCATAACACTCCCCCTTGGATGACCATTAGACATGAATATGCCTCGTTAAAACCTTACTAGGAAAAACCCTGTGGGATAAAATCCTAGTGAAGGAAAAAGAGTACATAATCATCATAATACGCTATTTGAATCTGCCTCGTTAAAAACCTTACCAGGAAAACCCAGTGGGAAAAACCATGGTTAAGGAAAAAAGAGTGCAGTGCGTATATGCTCACCCTCATGACAACATCAATAGTGTTGTGAACAAATCTTTCAAATATTGTCATGGTAAGCTTATTAGTGAACAAATCTTCTAGATTGTCACTTTATGCATGATCCATTAGGACCATTTTCTTCATACATGATCTTCAAGATCATTTTCTATGAATATAATCCGCAACCACAAGTCATTTAGACGTCTTGAATCACAAATCTTAACCAAACAATTCATAACAAGTCTCATGAATTGTTGACCATTGTTCATGATCAGATGATGTTGTTATTGTGATTTCTTTGAAATCTCCATGAGATACTTGTACGACCATGAGTAAACAAATTACTCATCTATGATCCTCATCGTTACCAATAGGTAACAAAGTATAACTTAATGAAGTATAGCAATATACATTTTTGCTCTAACGACATTGGCATATGGTACTTCAGGACCTAATAACTCGCTTCTATCTCAAGGCCTAAATTGATCTTTGTTCACTTCTAGTGACCTTATGATCATTTGGCTATTGAACGTATGCAATTTTTCCATACAAAATTGTTCTTTCACTTTTCCGACATTGTCGTCTTGATCCAAAAAGAATCTTCTTAAATCCTCCATGTTCAATTTTCTTTCTTTAAGCAAACCATGCTTTATGAAGCTCTTCTGGAGTTCATATCAACTAAAACATATGAGATCATTATAAAATAATGTCTCGACTCTTTTCTTCCAAATAACTATAAAACTTAGCTAACACAATTGTACGCAAACAATTACTTCATAACACAAGGTCACAAGCAAAAGGCACGTCATACACACAACATCACTTAACCAAACCACATTCATAAATCAAACACATAACTAAAACCACAATATCACGCACATAAGCCTATATGTCATTACACAATCACACATGCAAAATGCAAATGCTCTAATGCACTTTATTCGAATTGAATCACGCAATGCTTATACGACCACTTCCTTTAGTAGATATTCACTTAGATGAATATACCATATTCATCCATTTTATCTCAATCCATACAAGGAATTGCTTTATCGATCGATATTGTTCTCGAGAACTTCACATGTTTGCTTCCGGCAAACTAATCCTTCAAGGAGTTTCGTATAAATATCATTATCAAGGGATCCATACAAATAGGCTATCACAATATCTACCAAATGCAAATTTCATACTTTTTGAACTGCCAAACTATTTAAATTGCACAACATAGTTGCATCCACCACAAGAGAGTATGTCTCTTCATAATTGATGTCAGGTTTCTACCAGAAACCTCTCATGAGAAATTGTATTATATCTCTCGCAATTTCCATACGCATTTGCACAAAACCTATTTGTATCCCGTTAGTTTTACATCTTCAGGTGTAAGGACTTCTGGTCCAAAACTTATACCAAATAGCCTAATGCTTTCTTTTATATTGGCCAATATATATTCCTTTGCATGCATCAATAGACTTTTACTTTTGATCATCTTTGTATCTATCACGTTCAGTGCTGCAGCATAATCAAAACCCTTGTCGACAATAAATACACTTCGGTTCCAACTTTCTTCATACAAGCCAATTAATTGAGATCTCTTCATTTTAAACGTTCAGGTACCTACTATTCTTCTGGAACTATGATCTCAATTTTATGACTTGACTCTTCTAGAGCTATTTTATCCTCGAGTTTACCATCTTAATTTATAGCTCCTTCCTTTCTCGAGGATATCTATCCTTGGAACCGATTGGTCTACCACGCTTCATGCGCTCGTTTAGACTCATTAGATTATCCAATATGGACATCAATTTGTATTGGAGTATTCACAAATGGGCATGTGACATAATCACTCCTTTTAGTGAGTAAAAAGGCGTTTGGCAATCAATACGTTTTTTTTCTCCATGAATCACCATATGAACTTCGGGTTCATGTTTCTTCGTTTGAGGATCAAAATGCGATAATGATGATTCCAACTCACATCTATGCCCAACTGTTTACTTTTCTCCCCCTTAACGTTCGAGAAGTAACTCATCAAAATGATGATATTAGCAAAAAGAGTCATGAACAAATCTCTCATTGCATTGGACACCATGTCCAACATAAGTTCTCATGGAACTCATAACGTGTTGTGGTGGAGCAATTGGGATGTATTATGCACACCCAAATTTTCTAGCAGTTTAAATGTTTGGTCCCTGACCAAAACCATTTGTATGAAAAGGGGGAACTTATGATAACTTGTTGGCTTCATGCGAATTAATGATATCATAAGCCTCGATAAGAGATCGATAGACTTAGTTTGTTCTCATAAGAGAAGTTCTGTTTGATTGGATAATCATCAAAATATATCCATCATTCGGCAACTAATCTCGCAAACATCAGGTTGCGTTTAGATAACAGACATATATGACGATATAGTTGATGAATCAATCAAAATCATAAAATTCATATATGATTTGCACGTTGAGTGTATTTTTCTGCATACACTTTTATAAAATCTCAACAGATTCAATTATTTTCACGAGTATAGTCTCCTCGAGACCATGTATCACATAATCAATCCTTTGATTGATGAATTCTCTGAACTCTCACTTAATTTCCATATGATATCTCAATCATTTTCGCATCTGTATCCGGGATGGTATGACCGGACATGCCAAAATAAAAGTTATCCGATCTTGCAAACTTCTGGTTTACACTTTCATATGTACTAATATACATGTAGTACAAATTTCTCCAGTTAAGTATATGTTCTCTTATAACACATTTCTGATGCAATATCAATTATGATATTCTTTTCTGCGAATATCTTCATAATTCGGTAATGCATCTTCAATTGACAGTTTAGTTCATTCATGTCTCAAAACATTAGCTCTTCTGGAGCCTTCACATATTCTTGTACTACAAGTTGGCCATGAGGCACCTTCTGATTCGGTGAACTATTGTAAGCTCATATACATAGTGATAATAATATTTTCATAATCACCAATATATTGATTAGTTACTTCAAGTAACAAAACACAATCTCTTCCGGAGCTTTTGCTTACTTTCATACTATATGATATAATACCACTATTGACTTTTGCAAATATTCATTCTATACAAAAACATACAAAATAATAATAATAACAATAATAATAATAATAACAACAACAACAACAACAACAACAACAACATATATGTGTTTCATAACACATTTCGACATACGAAGGTTACAATATATGATCATGACTTTTGCTACATGAATTATCATCCTCATTTATAATTATTTTATCTTTCACTTCCGGTGAAAAGATATATTTGTTGATTGTCGTTATCCAAACAACAAATTATATTAATATAATGGTGTGTCTCGATCCATTCACTTTTAAGAATGGTTTGTTTTCATTCGCTTCCAGGAATGAAACAACAGCCTTTGGATCAAATTATATAATATTTCTCATCATCACAAGTCCAATACATTTTTCACCTTTAACTAACAAGAAATTAACTTACACTTTGTAAAACCTCTAAGATAATATTGCTACTGCAGGAGCACATATAGATTTTCATTTTTCTTTCAAATGATTCTTGGACCAATAAAAATTCTTTTCATACATCGGGTACAAGATCAATGATTTTTCCCTATCGCAATGGTAACTCATATTCCAATATTTTAGTTACCAGATCCACTTCTTTCATTTGACACATTTTTTTTTCATTTTTTTCCACTTCGGGGGAAAATGAGATCCTTAGACTTTCATTTCTCTATATGTCGAATGTAGAAATCGATAAGTCAACCTATAATGATTTTGCTACTACAGGAGCAATTTTCATTATCTGATAATGTCCAAGCACAAACTCCATGTTACGAGATCGACATATATAAAATAATATAAACAAATAACATGATCAAATAATCCCTCAAAGACAATGAGATAGATAAACATACTAACAAGAAATTGCATGAAAATTTGCATACCTTGATCGTGTTGTGATCTTACTCAAGTATATGTGATTATGTAGAGAGACAATGACCAACCATTACTTTGGCAGAGCTCGTGCTGATAACGTGTTGTGAAATAGCAAGGAAGAGCAACAGACATAAGAGTAAGAGTAGAGACACAAAAAGAGTGGGGGGATAGAGCTTTCTTATTCATGTATTCCTTAGTACAAGGAGATCATATATTTATAGGCATACATCACATAACCCCTACATTCTTACAATCAATATACATGAATGTGAGAATGAATGTGAAATAGAAATGGGGTGGGGGGTTACATGTAACACCCAATTGTGCATCTAATGTGTCATATGAAGAAATAAATATAAGGAGATGAGTTACATAGAACTTGTAACATACCATGGAGCATCTAATGTTGGTCATCCATAATGATAATAATATTTTCATAACATACATTGATCTGACAAGAAAAATATTTTGTTAGAGGCGAAATGGGTAATCAATATGTGACACTAGAAATTAGTTAGAGTGCTAACACTTCGCTTGAATGACATTTTTATTCAAACTAATTTATAATTCGATCCGTTGGCCGGAATGTTAATATTTGATTATTTATATTTTT